AGTCCAAGAAAATAATCGGTTCCAAGCTGTTAACCAAGAAAAAGGTCAATTGATTAACCGACAAAAAAATGAAAAAATAATTTTTATTTCTCTCTTAATAGCCGGAGCCGTAGCAACAACATTTTTAGTTGGTAAATTAAGAAAAACCCAAAACTCCAATAAAAAGTATCACCGGGAACACCAGGGCATTCAATAACAATTAGCTGAATTGCGACAAGAAATGCGGGTTATACTTTCCACAGTTCTTAAACGGGAAAATTCGCCTGCCACGTAAATTAGTAAAATCAACCTGCTTTTTATCAAGGGCTGTTGGACAGAGTGGGATTTTAGTGAGTGGGAGTTAAAATGACTATATAATTCATGACGATGAAAAAAGGAATTGTCAATTGCCTAGTTTGATTATTAATGGCCGATGATTTGTAGAATTAGGAATAAGTCAGTATTATAAAATCAAACGAGGTCGCTCTACGGTAAATGATGAAGTAATTAACAAATTAGTTAAGCAGTTGAACAGGGGGAAAAGTAAGAAACGAAAATGGCTCTTTATACATTGACTACGAGTCTATAATTTAGTATGAACTTCAAAGAATATGACAAACAAAAATAATCCAAAAAAAATAGAAACGGTTGACATTCTATAGAAAACTATTGGTTATGCAAGGTTTTGTTTATTCTGAAAATAGCGAAAAATAAATTATAAAAAATGAATAATTCAGAGCAAGCAACAAAAATTTTACTCGGTTTAGAAGTTCACATTACCGTTAATAGCCAAAAAAAGATTTTTAATTGAGAAAATACTTATAAAGGAGATATTCTACCTAATAGCCAAGTTGGCCCTTGAGAATTAGGTTATTTAGGCGTTTTACCAATAATTAATCCCGAAGTTATTCAATTAGGTTTAAGGCTAGCAACAGCTTTGGAGATGAAAATTAGTCCAACTATTTTTTTTGATCGTAAAATTTATAACTATTTTGACTTACCGAAAGGCTACCAAATTACTCAACAAGAATTACCTTTTGCTACTTTGGGATATTTACCTGTTATCAAAGGAAATAAAGTTGAAAAAATACCAATAGAAGTTCTGCAATTAGAAGAAGACACTGCTAAGAGCACTTATAATGAAGAAGGGGTCAGGTTAGATTTTAATCGAGCCGGTAATCCCTTAATTGAATTAGTTACGGCGCCAGTTTTTCAACAAGTTGAAACAGTATTAATTTTTATCAAACAATTACAAAATCTGCTAAGATATTTAGATATTTCTGAGGCTAAGATGGAAAGGGGGCAATTACGAGTAGATTTAAATTTTTCTCTCCAATTAGGAAAAAACTATTCTACTCCGCGCTACGAAATTAAAAATCTTAATTCCTTAGCCAATGTTGAGAAAGCAATAAAATATGAGACAAACAAACACTGATTATTATTTTCTCAAGGCAAAAATCCTCCCGTTAGTCAAACGCTGGGCTTTGATGAGGCTAAACAAACTACTATCACTCACCGGGAAAAAACTAGTTATTATTACTTGCCGGAAGTTAATATCCCGCCCATTAAATTAAAAAGCCAAGAAATCAAAAAGATAAAAAACAATCTCCCTAAATTACCTTGACTATATTGAGAAGAATTAAAAGAGAACGATATTCAGACTGCTAATGGACTTATCAAAAATCCTTCTTTGTTGAAAATATTTAACCTCCTTGCCAAGAAGAAAATGTTGAAAAAAGATGATAGCAAGGGTTGACTGACTTTTTACCTGAATTATCTTAATCCTCACCTAGAAAATGATAATATCGGCTGATTTGCTAAAAAAATAAAGTCCTGCCACGAACTCTTTAATTATTGAAA